GTAATATTATAATGAGATCCCTTTGCCACGTCACCAAGGGAGCGAAATCAGACGTGCTTGTTTTTTCAGACGCTTGCAGAAAAAGGCTTACCAAAACAAAGTTACTGGATTAATCTTTTTCATGTTTCCTTAGTTGGTAGATGCACCGGGAACCTGATTATAGGACTTAAAACCTGGAAAAGTCCGATTTTCATGATATGTCACCTTTAAAGCATCTTTTTTCAGATTTCAATATTCATTTAAAACATTTAAAACCCATTTATTATCATTATTTACACAATGCTGAATTTTAAACTTTAAATGATCTTTTGGGGGACAATTTCTCAGCCAAAATGTATGTGTGATTTATTTGCAATTCATTTCATTCTTGGACACATCACATATTTAATTAGATTAAACATTTGAATCACTTGACAGCCCTAGTTATCATATTATTTTAATTCATTATCGTAATCATGAATACATTGCTTTGTATGGCAATTTGTTTCACCATTTACTGGCCTTTGTTATTCTTCTAGTTATTTACCTATAGCAGCTGGTGAATTGGAAGTCTTGCTCATTCACTGAAAATAGCGTATTTCAAAGTTGCAAAATGAGCTAGATACCACCCATCCCTACTGAGAACTTTAGTGGTTGGTGAGTAGTACCTCCATGCTTTCTTCTGCAATGGCATCTCCAGCTCCCAGCTTCACGGATGCACAGTTTTCATCATCTTCCGCTTGCCTGCTGCGGAACGTTAGCGCCTGTTCCCAGCGCCGCAGGGCCTCCTCGAACAACTCCATTCCTGTGGGCGAGACATCTATTCAACATGTGGAACTTTTTGCAAATGAATACACACATCAGATTTAAGCCCGGCTCACACTGTGCGATTTTGGCCACGATTTAGCCGTCTGAGACAAATTTTGAAAATCCTAAAAGATTCCTATAATCCCAGGCTAAAATCTGTAGTCTTTGATCGTTAGTTTGACATGTTCACTGCCAGCCGATTAATGGCCGTTGCGATCAAATTTGATCTCCGACGAAATTCTGGCAGTGTCAGAAGATTTGGTGCACAGTCCTGCAGTGTGACTTCTCCTACGACGAACATCAAACTGTCTTCGTTTTTCAACGATAAAACTAAGGACAAGTTTTCTTGCACGCACCCATTTTTAACACGTCTTGACTATCGTACAGTCTGACATTAATAACAACTGAGATCCCACAGTGTGACATGATCATCATGTTCGTACAGTCTGACAAGTACA